TTTTTTAATGTTGTGTTTCTTATTTAAATTATATTATTTAACTCTGAACTTATTTACTTTGAAATCTGTGTAATGTTTTGTATAACAAGGCAAAGTTAGGGTAGAACTTGGTGGCTGAGAACCGATTAATCTGTTTTCAGTTATTTCTTATGGGAAAAATTGATTGGGAGTTTGACTGCATCTCAATGCTCCTTCTAGAACACATTAGTATCGAGGTCCAGGGTGCTACTGTATAGGTAAATGATACATTTATTTCACAAGGTTACCTTTAGGTTAATATGACACTCTGAAAGTTTTCTTTTCTATTCAGTTAAAGTCCCTACTTTGCTGATTGGAAAATAAGAGAAAAATGCACATTTCAAATCTGCTGTACCCACACTAGGCAAACTGGGCATAAGCAGGAACATTTCGGGTCCTGCCCAGCTCAGTGACAAATTGCTGATATCCCCATTCTTGATGCAGCTTATCCTAGACTAGAGCTGCTATGCCATTCAAATGCATGGTTGGGATTTCCACATAACAATCACCAAAAGAGCTTGCTACATCCATAGAGCCCTAGATCACATCCCATATATATTGAACCAGTATCTCTGGGAATAAAAAGAAAAGAAAAACATTGCTAACTAACTGATTCTAACTGATGAGGACCCTGTCGAACCAAGTGGAACTGCCCCCATCCGGTTTCCAAAGCTCTACATCTTTATGGAAGCAGACTCCTAACTTTGTTTCACAGAGTGGATAGTGGGTTTGAACCACTGACATTTATTTCAGTTAGCAACCAAACGCTTAACCACTATGCCATCAGAGTTTATTTCTCTGGGAATGGGCCCCCCAAGGCGATGCTATAATATGAGACTCACGAATCAGGTTTCTGAGTCTGAGGGAAGGGACAGTAAGTCAGTCATCTTTGTAACCTCAGGGCCAAGTTTACAGCAGCTATCTATATTCAAAAGGCATACACACACATGTTAAACCAATACTGTAATCTAAAGCTATCCCTATCTGCATAATTGCTGTGTACTATATTCATTAAAACTAAACTCATCACTAGACAACTAGATAACCTCTAATGAAAGGGTGTAGTACAACTTTCTGAATACAGGGCATACATCTAACCAGTTATGCTCTATTATGTCATTGTATATTGCCAAATGTTTACTTTAAAAGACAAGTCTGCAGCTATGTATGTGTGCTGCTCTAAACCAACGGTTCTCAACCTGTGGGTCGCGACCCTTTTGGGTGGTGGTGGTGTTGAACGACCTTTTCACAGGGGTCGCCAAAGACCATCGGAAAACACTTATTTCCAATGGTCTTAGGAACTGAAACAGCGATCCTCTGTCAGTCTCCAATGCAGATACGCCCACCGGGTGTGAAGACTGTTGTTACCCATGCTAAACCGTGGTTCAAGACAAAATTTCATTTATTTGTCAATAGAAATAAATATTTCACAATCTATAATGACATCGTTTTTGTGATTAATAACTATACTTTATGTTCAATTTGTAACAATGAAAGTACATTCTGCATATCATATTTACATGACGATTCATAACTGGCAAAATTACAGTTATGAAGTAGCAACGAAAATAATTTATGGTTGGGGGTCATCACGACATAAGGAACGGTATTAAAGCGTCGCGGCATTAGGAAGGTGGAGAACCACTGCTCTGAACGAAATGAGATTAGGAACAGCAGCTAAGTGAATGCGCAACATCTATTCAGTCAATACGTGTATTCCTCTATATCACGCAGGGGACAGTGTGGAACATCGTGCTCCAATAAATTCAAAGCTGCTCTGCACGGGTTTATTCCCTTGAGCGGGTAGGTAAGCAGCGAGCGCGTTCTTTCTTTCAAAGGTCCCTCCGCACCCCAAACAGGTGGAAACGCGCAAGCGCTGTTTCTTTAACATAACACGGAACGCCGACTGCACCGATCAAAGCCCGGCCATTCCCCCGGTTCCCTCACGCCGGACTCGCCCCCTGGTGAATGCAACCCCCGTTCTCGGCGTCCAGTGCTAATAAACGTTGTGTGTGTGCGGCGGGGGTCCGCCCCGAGGCGCCCTGCCGAACTTCTCCCTGCCCGCGTGGAACTCGGCGTCTCGGCGCTCTTCTGGCCACGCCTGGGGCGCGGGCTCGGCCGGGGCCGCCGTTGTTGTAGTGACCGGCAGACGCCGGCGCTCCAGGCCGACGGTTCCGGGCGCCGCAGGGTCCCCCTTCCAGCCCCGTCCCCTTCCCTTCCCCGCCCTTCCTTCCACCGGCGGGAGCCCGGCGACGACCGCTGCCCCATGGCCTCCGCTGCGGTAAGGATGCAGTTGGGGCGCTTCTCGGGATCCGTCCCCGCGGGCGGCGGGGCCAGGTTTGGGCCGCTCCCGCACACGGTGGGAGGCGTCCGCCGCTCGGACCCGAGCCTCCCGTCCTTAGCGCCCCGGCGTCCGCGTCCTACCGTCGGCGGACAGGCCGATCGAGGCGGGCGCCGAGCCCAGGCCGGAGAGCCGCTGCCGGAGCCGGGCGGCGCCGTCGTCCCCGGAGTGCTCTCAGCGTTGCCGGGGAGCGCCTGCGTCAGAATCGCCGGGGAGCTTTAAAAGCCCCGCAACCGGGGCCCCCGCCCCGACCCTGTGCAGCCGGCGCCGCGGGCGGGGCCCGGGATGTGTGTCCTCATCAAGCTGCCCAAGTGGTCCCCGGGCCGAGCCCGGGCCTGGGACGCCGCGGGGAGAGAGCTTGCCGGCTGCGGGGGCGAAGTCGGCGCCCCGGGTCTCGGTGCCAGGGTACAGGGTCCGGCGGGCGGGGAGCGAGGCGGCTCCGGCGCCCCCCGCGCCTGCGCAGATCGCTGCGGGAGGTGGCGGCCCGGCCCCCCGGCTGCCCCGAGTGCCGGTCGGCCGCCGTGTTCAGTCCCTGACACCTTCCCTTCCCAGGAGGACCCCGTTCTGGAGCGGTATTTTAAAGGCCACAAGGCTGCCATCACCTCCGTGGACTTCAGTCCCAAAGGCAAACAACTTGGTAAGTTCGTTTTACTCTGTTTTTGTTGTTTGGAACTTTTGCAATGGCGGGAAATCCTCCTGGCCAGGCTGGGCCTCCCCACAGGGCCCCCGGGGCCCTCGGCCGGTAGGGGGCGGTTCGACGCCTGGGGAGTCCCGCTCCGCGGCGGCCCCGCCCTCACGATCGCGCCGCGCGGGGCCGTGCCGGACGGAGGCGCTGCGCGCCGCAACCACCAGGGGGAGCCAGTGGGAAGGGGAGGGGTTAGTCCCGGGCCTCGGGACGGTGGGGTGTTGGCCGCCGAGTTGGTGAAAAGTTGTGAGCGGATCCGGAGGAAGTGGGGGAGCGAGAAGTTGGGGCTGTGCCGGAGGCCGAGGACCGAGAGCGCTCAGGTGACCCTGGAAAGCCGTCGTGGCTGGAGGGGGACCGTGAGCCCGCCTCGAAAGGAGGGACCTGCTGGCCAGCTCGCCCCTACCTGAACCCTTCCCCGCCGCGGGGGCTCTCGTGGCTGCGTCGGCGCCAGGGCCGTGCCGATCCAGATGGCCGTGAGGTGGACCTGGGCAGGCAAGGGCTGCCTGCTGCTGGCGCTTCTAACCGTGGGCTATGTCCTCCTGGAGCTCTCCGTGTCTGGTTTCCATTCCTCCTCAGGAGCCGGCCTGCCCAGGGGGCGGTCACAGAGGCAGCTCACTGACTCGGAGGCGAAGCCGGTGGATCTGTCCCGGCCGCTGTATGAGAAGCCTCCCGCAGATTCCCATGCCCTGGGAGAGTGGGGGAAAGCCAGCAAACTGCAGCTCACCGACGGTGAGCAGAAGCAGGTAGAGGAGCTCATTGAGAGATACGCTATCAACATTTACCTCAGTGACAGGATCTCCCTGCACCGCCATATAGAGGACAGAAGAATGTATGAGTGTAAAGCCAAGACGTTCAACTACCGGAGCCTCCCCACCACCTCGGTCATCATAGCTTTCTACAACGAAGCCTGGTCCACTTTGCTCCGCACCATCCACAGTGTTTTAGAGACTTCCCCCGCCGTCCTTTTGAAGGAGATCATCTTGGTTGATGACTTGAGTGACAGAGTGTATTTGAAGACCCAGCTTGAAAGTTACATCAGCAATCTCGATCGAGTCCGCTTGATTCGAACCAATAAGCGAGAGGGGCTGGTTAGGGCCCGCCTGATTGGGGCCACTTTTGCCACAGGAGATGTGCTCACCTTCCTAGACTGCCACTGTGAATGTAATTCTGGATGGCTGGAGCCTCTTTTGGAAAGGATTGGTAGAGATGAGACAGCAGTTGTTTGCCCCGTGATAGACACCATTGACTGGAATACGTTTGAATTCTACATGCAGACAGGGGAGCCCATGATTGGTGGGTTTGACTGGCGTTTAACATTCCAGTGGCATTCTGTCCCCAAACAGGAAAGGGACAGGCGGTCTTCAAGAATCGACCCTATCAGGTCACCCACCATGGCTGGCGGACTGTTTGCTGTCAGCAAGAAATACTTTGAGTACCTTGGAACCTATGACACTGGAATGGAAGTGTGGGGAGGTGAAAACCTAGAGCTCTCTTTTCGGGTGTGGCAGTGTGGCGGGAAGTTGGAGATCCACCCCTGTTCCCACGTGGGTCATGTATTTCCTAAACGGGCACCATATGCCAGGCCCAACTTCCTGCAGAATACGGCTCGGGCAGCCGAAGTGTGGATGGATGAGTATAAGCAGCATTTCTACAACCGAAACCCTCCAGCAAGGAAAGAAGTTTACGGTGACATTTCTGAAAGAAAATTACTACGAAACCGGCTGAGATGCAAGAGCTTTGACTGGTATTTAAAAAACGTGTTTCCTAACTTACACATCCCAGAGGATAGGCCAGGCTGGCATGGAGCTGTCCGCAGTGTTGGGATTTCTTCTGAATGTCTAGATTATAATTCTCCTGACAACAACCCCACGGGTGCTAATCTTTCACTATTCGGATGCCATGGCCAAGGTGGGAATCAATTCTTTGAATACACCTCTAACAAGGAAATACGGTTTAATTCTGTGACAGAGTTATGTGCAGTGGTCCATGAGCAGAAAAATTCTGTGGGAATGCAAGCTTGTCCCAAAGATGGGCTCCCCGTTCCAGCAAACATTATTTGGCATTTTAAAGAATACGGAGCCATTTTTCACCCACACTCAGGACAGTGTGTGAGTGCTTATCGGACACCTGAGGGCCGGCCTGATGTCAAAATGAGCACTTGTAATGCTCTAGATACAAATCAAATCTGGAGGTTCGAGAAGTAGGAGAGCACAAACTGCACTTTGGTCCTGAGCTGACAATAGTTTCAGAAAAGTCGAAGCGCCTTCCAAGGTCCTCAGCGAAGATTGTGTTTTATCAGAAATCACCTGGAGGCCAGCTGGAGCGCTCTGTGAAAGCTGTGGTTCCCTTTGGTCTCTTGCACTGACACCCGGTCACAGAGCTGCTGCTGCTGAAGATTTCTAAGTGCCTTACTTACGGATTGTTTTGTCTAAGAGCTGTGCCAGTCTGGTCCCAGAGAGCTCCTCCCCAGAAGTGACTGTGCGTGGAGATGCACAAAACCTTTAAGTACCAGGCTTAATGTTTTTGTTTAAAAATGTCAAAGTCTAAGTAAAATGAGATATGGTTCATGGTGATGGGTCATTCTATGTACATCCTATTTAAGAACAAAAGCAAAAACTAAATAACTTATAAATGTAGTTTGAACTAATGCTATTTTTAATGATTTGTAGAATTTAACTTTTTAATTTTCTTGGCAAACATTGAATTTTAGATTTCGTTCATCTTTTAATCTAATTTTCCTTTAATCAAATAGAATTCAAAGTTGACGTGATGGGGAAAAGGCCTGCCATAGATCTATGTACCCTTGGAAGAGGGCATTAGTTTGCATGTCTTTTACTCTATGGGACATTGTAGAAAAATATACCCACATCTATCTAATGGAAGTGGAAAGACATTTACAAAGTTTACTTCGTGTAAACTTGGATTTAATTGATCTATATTGATACCTCAAATCACTCTGAATTTGTACGCCGCCCTCTATGTGAGTGTCTTTGTGTGTATAGGGCATTTTCTGATTGTACTTCCTTGAGTTATAAATATATTGCAAAAGGACCCATTTGAAATACTGTGCCTCCCTTTGTTAATATTTAATCATGAAAAGTAAACACAATTGAGGCCTCACTGAAGTAAGACCCAATTGTGTCTACTGAAATATGTGAAACTGAAAGTGGACCTAGTCTTACAAGGGCTGCTGTACACTTCTCTGAGTTCTTACCGATTAGGAAATGTAGGTATTTATTTTAGGAATCGTGTCAAGGAAAAAGCACTGTCTTGGCAATCAGGAGAGCTACCTCCCAGCTCATTTCAGCACCTGGTGCTGAGCCTGGCCTTTAGACCGCAGCTTTCAGTATGTGTTTGAGTGAATGAGTGGCTCAACTAATGACTTTAGTCAAGTTGTTTGATGTGTTTGGGCCTCAGTTTCCCCATCTGAAAAATGAGGGTGCTGGCTTAGATCTTGAAGACTCCTCCAAGCTTTGAAATGCTATGACTACATTTTGCTCTTCTCAGATTCAGTCACTGTGCAGTCTTTCTAACACTTCATCTAACACCTTTCACCTAGGCAATGTTATGCAGCAATATACCTCCAGTTACAAAGCTGAAAAATAGAGAGTTTCAAAATTAAAATTAAGGGAGCTGAGTTCAACTAAAGTGATTTATTCTGCTGAGGGTGAATTGTTAACTGTGTATACTGTCATATCATTTTGATAACTGTTGAACCAATTTTGTCTTTATGATTTCAATTAAACGTTTCTAAGCTCAAAGAATATAAATATTTCCCAAACAAAATTTATTTAAGAAGTAAATACGTTCTTTTTAAAAGAGTATTTTTTGAAAAAACGTTTTTATTCCGGTGTCATATCTGGAATGCATAGTCTTAATTTAAAGTTAAATCTCAATTATTTCACTTGATGTAGATTCATGAAGTGTTATGCTTCACATAATTAATCCAACATATTCTTAAATAAGGTTGCTTTTTGGTATTTACTTAATGACTTGGAGAGGAGAATCTTCAAAAAGTGAAATTTGTAAAAGTTTTTTCGAGTAACTGTTTGAAAAAGAAGCCCTGGTGGCATAGTGGGTTATGTGTGATGCTAATGGCAAAGCCAGCAGATTGAAGCCACTGGCTGCTCCCTGGAGAGAGATGAGACTTTCTCTAAAAACAAGCTAAAACACCCCCGCCCCCAATCTCACTTCTGTGGAATTGAGTCCCACTCACAGCAACCTCATAGAACAGAGTGTGCTTTTGAGACTATAACTCCTTGTGGTTGTCAGGTGCCATCGTGTTGGCTCCGACCCACAGTAACTTTATGCGTGACAGAAGGAAACACAGCCCCGTTCTGTGCGTACTTGAACCCAGTGTTTTAGTCATAGGGTCAACTGTCTCCTGGAGCGCCTTCCTCTTTTTCACTGTCCCTCCACTTCATCAAACATGATGGCCTTCTCATTAGTGGAGTAGAAAGCCTCATCTTTCTCCCTTGTAGTACTTGGTGGTTTCCAACTGCTGACCTTGTGATTAGCAGCCCAACGTGTAGTATGCTTTGCTACCAGAGCTCCCACAGCCTCAGAAACCCTCAGGTCTAGCTCCACCCTGTCCTGTAGGGTTGCTACGAGTCAGCATCGACTCGATGGCAGTGAATTTTGAGATATTTCAAAAAGAAACTTGATGCATATTCTGTAGATTTTATTTCTCATTTGCTTCTTGAAATGGAAACATAATTTGTGTAAGTTATCTAACACTATTTTTCAAAGAATGATTTCACAGGTGATGTGCATGGCCCCTGGATAGAATTTAAGAAAGATTTCTAAAAAGCTCTGGTATTTTCAGAAGGTTTAATTGGCAGCAGGTATTTTTTCAAACCCGTTCATTCTCTCCACTTTTATCGGGGTTTTTCTTTTTAATCACCCTTTCTCTTATATTTAAGTTTTGTTGTTTATGCTTAGCTTTCTTTCACATGGGAGAACCCAAATTGATGTATTATGGATACCTTTATTGGAATTACATTTATTAGTGTCTTGTCTGAATGGAAAAGAAGCTTTTAAAAATTCAGTGCCTCATTTGATCTAAATTATTTTGTGTGACCTATCCATTTATTTGAAAGAAGCTTCAGGCAAGTGCTTTAAATAAATAATTTGAAATAATGTGACCGTGAATTTCTCACAATAGTGTAGGTAACTGAAGAACAGGAATTTCACATTTCCATATATAGACATGTTCCGATTTATCTTAACTCCAAAATCATACTGTAAAGCTACATACAAAGTATACTTTGATTTCCTAATTTTAATGTGTTAATACCAAAGTTTTCTTTTGCTATAGATAATTAGAGCTTCTCTTTTAAGTTAATTTACTTATTTAATAACAGATTTAGTAAAACATTTGGTGGTTAAGAAGATTCTACTTTAAATGCTATTTGTGTCATTTCATAGTCCAATAAAAAAGAATAGATTGAAGAGGCCATTTTTGCAATCTTGAAAAAAAAAAGAAAAAAGATTGAGCCACTTGAAAAACCTCTATAATTCAAAATAACTAACTTGTAATAGAAAAGCTGCCTTCACACCCAGTGGCAGGTGCCAGCACAGTCGTTAGATGTTGGCAAATAAAACGTTTCTAGGTTGAAAATGAGATGATTTTTCATTTGTATAGTGTCCGTTGGTTTGGAATCGTACTTTTAATGAAAACTTTTATTGATAAGATCTTTGGTTTTGACGTGTTTGTCCTTTGGGTTTGCTGTTTTTATAGTGTTATTAAATGAGCACAAAGAATGTTGAGATCAGATTAATCCTTTCTGAGTGATTTTTTTTCCTGTGTGATTTCATTAATGGTATCTGCAGTGTCGATTAAGACATCTAAATAAAATATGTGCCTACTTATTTTTACAAGTGGACGCTGATGATTTTATTCTCATCATGGTATAACCGCCCAGTGTGCACATTTATTCATGTTAGCAAGGATAACTTAAGCTTGTAACTTTTTTACTTACTTGAAAATGCAGACAGCAGAATATAAGAAAGTCAAACTTCCAGCGTTATTTTGCAGTTGTCATTAAACAGAAAATCTTCTGAAGTGACGTTGGGTTTCTTTTTTTTTTTTTTT